TTGAAAGTGCTGCCAAACGCTCCTCAGCGGGGCCAGCAAAACACCCCCCAAAAGTCAGGAGCCACTGACCCGCCAAGGCGCAGCATAAACAAACACACAGAGCAATTTGGACAGCAGCAGGCGATAACCCAGACACAAACTCAACTTGCTAAAAGTTTTGCTTTCAAGTATTCACTTCTTTTACTTTCTTCCCTCCCTCCAAACAAACAAAACAAAACAAAAAAAAGTACTTTTTCAACCATTCTCATTGCACTATCCAGGAATCTCAACAGAATAACGAGACCTGCTTCATTACATCCACTTCACAGATCACTGCTATTTTCTGCGAGTGTTACACTGGCTTCTCCTCCTCGCCGTGGCTGCTACGGACCACGTGGCGAGATTTATGATGGGACTAGCCCACAGCCTTGTTTCCTAAACACCCCAGCAGCTATCTCTGATAAATCTAACACACACTATTTTCCCTCTGACCATGCTGGGTCAGACCATGCTCGCAGGGTTTTTTTTTAAAAACAATTCATAGAATAATCATAGAATGGTTTGAGTTGGAAGAGACTTTAAGGACCATCTTGCTCCAACCGCCCTGCCATGGGCAGAGACACCTTCCACTAGAGCACGTTGCTCAATTCCTACTTTTCCTTATCTTTAAGGCTGCTAAGTGAGACAAGAGCAGGATGCACACGGGTATTTTGCTGCAGAACAGCATCTTTCTCAGATTAGCCCCGCGCTTAAGCAGTATCACCGGTAGAAGGAAAATATTGCCATTTATCAGCAGGGCACGTGCACAGGAGGTGCCGGGAAAGATCCCTTTGATGCTCTGTCGTCTGGCCCTGGTCCGGTGGACTGTGTTACCGGAGCGGACAGAGCTGAGCGTTACAGGAGAGCACAATACACTCGTAGGTTTGAAGTTGCTCGCCCTCATCCCCGCAACTTGTCACCCAACATCTCTATCTCCTTTCCCGACGAACGCGACGCTCCCGCCGGGCGCTGCCTCCCGCTCCCATCGCCGTGACGGCCCCGGCTCTGCCCTCCCGGCACGGGTGGATGCCCCGCCACGCCGCTGCACCGGCAGCCCCCACATCCCTCCCCAGAGCCAGCCGTGGGGGCTCGGGCTCCACGAACTCCACCATCCCTCCCCAGAGACCCCCGCACGCGGGGTCTCCAACTGGAAGCACAGCTCCGGGGGGAGCACCTCGGGACCTGCGCGGACGAAGGCGCTGGATGGGCTGGTGTGGGACTCTGCAGCCCCAAGGCATGACCCCCACCGCCCCGCGGGGACCCCCGCGCCGCACGGGCGGACAATGCGCAGCTGCCCGGCCCCGGTGCCGCGGGGCTGCCGCTGACCGCGGGCGAGCGAGCGGGACCGGGAGCGGAGGCGGGCATGGGGAGGGAAGAGGGAGCCCGGGCGAGCACTGCCCCGGCCACCTCGGGGGTGACGAGGGTACGCGAACCGCGGGAGCGACCGACGGACGGAGCGGCCGCGGGGCGGGAGCTTTGCCGGGCGCGGCGGCAGGTCCGCGGTCCGTGTCCGCGCCCTCGCCCGCTCCCCCAGCCCAGCCCGGCTCTTACCTCCGCGGCACACGAGCAGCAGCAGCCCCAGCAGGCAGGCGGGCAGCGCGGAGCCCGGCGGAGCCATGGCATCCCGGGCGGGCGGGCTCGCCTCCCTGCGCCCCACGGGGAGGGAGCAGCCCGCCGGCAGGGAGGGAGGGAGGGAGGGGAGGAGGGAAGGCGGGCAGGCGAGAACCACCCCCAGCTGCGGGGCGGGAGGGGAGAAGGGAGGGGGGAAAGGAAAGGGGAAAAAAAGGGGGAAAGCGGCTCGGCGGTGCTGCCCTCGGCGCGAACACGCCGCCGCGCCGGGCGGGCGGGGGCGGCGCTGAGGGAGCGGGCCGCCGGCGGGCGGGGGCGGGCGGGCAGCGCCTTGCGCCATCTTGCGCATTCGCCGGGGCGCCGCCAGCGCCGGCCGGGCTGAGGGGACGCGAGGCTGCGGGGCCGGGAGGATGGACCTCCTGAGGGGCCACTCCGTGCCCGGGACCTGCGGGGAGCGTGCAGGGACCCTCAAGGGGTCTCCCGTCACCGGAGCCCCCTCACGGGTCTCCTCCACTCAGTGGTTCCACCTCACGGGGCTCCCGTCAGAGAGCTCCTCTCAGAATCCCCTCACGGGGCTCCCCTCAGTGGTTCCGCCTCTCGGGGCTCCCTTCACAGGGCTCTTCTCACCAATGCTACCTGACGGGGCTCCCCCTCACGGATCTCCCGTCCCTGGCGCAGCCCCACAGGTCTTCCCCTCGCGTGTCTCCCTCACCAGGGACCCCTCACAGGACCCTCTCATCAGAGCCCCCTCATGGGTCTCCCCTCACCAGTTCCACTCCCCGGGGCTCCCTTCACAGAAGTGCTTGGCTTGTCCCACCTCGCTGCTCCTGATTTTAACGCTATCCTAAGATGACTTACCCTATCCTAAGATGGGTCACCCATGCAGATGTTGGACCAGCCTGCTCACTCTGGAAGAGGCCCCAGTGAGGATGGATCCAGTAAGGGATGAGTTGCTCCTAAATCCTGCCACAGCAGGGTAATTTGTCTGCTCTCCTGGCATGAAATGAGGATAATGTGTCCCTATATAGTTCTCAGCCCCAGCGCCCACACAATATTTTGTGCCTTCCAACTGATCCTACCTTGTTCCTCGGCCAATATTCTCCACAAACATAAGTCCCATCATCACTGTCAGCAGCAAAAGCCATCTCTGCAAGGACAGCTCAGTGTCTCTTGTGGCGTTTGCTTGGCGAGAAAACAACTAAGAAGAAATAAAAGTGGATCCTAATAATTTCTTTTTTCAGACTAAGATCTTGATGGACTGTTCTAAACCATATAACCATTCCCTTAAATCTGATGAAAACCCCTTTGTGAAGAGGAGCAATGTTAGGCTCCCCTGCATGGTGCACCCTGAGCGTGTCGGAATCAGCTAACGAGGAAAGAAGACGTCACTACATCTGCTCCACATTAAAGCTCCCCTCCTTTAGTGGAGGGCTGGGCTGTACGAGGTTGCTTTCAGCTGGGGAAGAATTTGCTCTGGCTCCGCCAGCCTCTCGGTAACATCTGAATTTCTGTGCTGTCCCTGACCTTTTGGCACCAGCCGTGCTCTTGCTCCGACTCCCTGGCTCCTGCCATGGGGCCCCACCAGCATTTTATAACGCTCGCAGCCATCGTGGGCTTGTGGCAGCTTCCAGGACGCCGCTGTCACCGAGGATGGCTTGTGGAAATTAATAATTCCAAGAGAAATAAAGCACCATGTGCTTCACAGAGCTGTTTTCCCCAGGAACCACACATTTTGGGTGCTGCTGTGCGCACTGGCAGGACCCAGGAGCTGGGGGAGGTAGGTACCTGTTTAGGGCATCACCAGCTTCAGCCCTGCATCTTGCAAATGACACTGGTGACAGTGCCAAAATTCCATTAAAAAATTGAAAGAGCGTGGTAGTCCTGCTAAACAACAGGACTCGTGTGAAAAAACACGAGATTTTTTAGGATAAAGGTAGGTTTGGGGCTTTTGCAGCCAACTGAGAGCAGGAATTCAGAGCACTCATGTTTTTCTATGCTCTGTAACCATGAGGGCTTAGAAAAGTTGCTTTGTACTGGAGGCAGGAATTTGCTTATCACGCTGCAAGCAGAAATCGGAGCCTTTGGAAAAGCAGCAGGGTTATAGAAGTGACAGTGTCCAGCCCAAACTGAGGCTCCAAACCCTACCCTGCAGAGTGCTCATAGGGTCTGTTCCTCCATCCTCCCTCCTGCAGAGTGGCACAGGGTCTGCCCACCCATCTGTCCTCCCTCTCTGCAAGGTTATCCTCCAAGAGAGCTGCCCTCAGAGGGCATCACTCACCTCTCACTCCTTGCACAGCAAATCTCCATCAGCTCCAATTGTGCTCCTGATTTACACCAATTAACTGCAAACTGAGGTCCCCAAGACACCATTAGTAGTTTCAGCGGATGAAGTGGGAGATTAACTTGTCTGAATTTGCTCCATTTATTATTCCGTGTGTAATTGTGGTTTCCCTGCCTGCAGACAGCCTGGGAGCTTTTCCCTTACATACGTACACACAGGGCTTCAGCATCTGTTTTGTGGTCAGTGAGCAATAGGGAGCGGGAGCCAAATCGTGGCACCCACCTCAAGGCACTGAGCCGAGAGCTGTGCCAGCAGCAGCGGTGGGACAACCCGGGACCTGCTTCTGGAAGCTGATTTCCCCAGCAGAAACTGTTTTCTGTGTGTCTGTTGAGGATCCTGTTGAGTTACCCATTATCCCCCTCCAAGGTGCTTCCTTGCTCGTTTGTGGGCTTACCTGTCATTAGGAGAAAGACTCATCAGAGCTATGCCATCTGACAGGGTTCCCTTTAACCACTATCAGAGAACACGCTGCTAAGCGCAGATTTATTACCTCTGTAATGCAGATAAAATGAGATTTTATGGCTCTGTAGTCCTGGCAGCATAAAGGAATAATGGAAACTATCTACCAAAGTAGGGAATGCGTCCCAGGAAGGAAGGGAGATGCACGGGAGGTTAACAGCACGTCCTCGGGCACTGCCAGATATCCTCTCGCCAATCTCCCTGCACAGAAGCCACTGAGCATTCAGCCCAGTGTGCCATCCAAGAGACATCTCACCACTCATTTGCTGGATGCCTCTGCTTGTTTTTCCCATTAAGAAATTCCCCAGCAAGACGAAGCATGAAACTGGACAAATATTTTTTCTTTTTTCTTATAGGAATGGGTTCAAAACTGAGAAATGAGCAAGCATCCAGAAGTGCCTAATGAACTCAGACTCTGCCCCTGTCTGAAATTCCAGAAGAATCCCTAAGAAACCAGGCATCCACTCTCACCCCACATTCCCAGCCTTCACGGTGATGAGCTCAGGCAGTGAACTGAGGGTGAATCCTGCATCCTGCTCCCACCACTGCTTCCCCCAGCAAGGTACAGCCTTGCACAGCTGTAACAGACTGAATCGTGAGACAAATTCCACTCTTTTTTTTTTTAAAACATTTTATTAATAACCCATTAGTTAAGGAATATAAGGACAATGTCTTCTTACACTTTAACACTAAAGAGTATTTGTGGAGTAAGAACAGCCTCTGAAGAAAGAAAGTTATAATAAAGTACAGCATGGAACCAAACACAGACACAACCTTCAAACGAGATCAAGTCCTGGTTACACATCCTTATGCACCGTGCAGAAAATTAAATGAAATTTAACTTCAAAATACAAGCAAGGGAATAGAATAACAGAAGTAGATGGTAGATTTCTGCTGGACTAAACACTGCTTTTCTAACAAAAGTATTGATTAGAAAAGACACAATGATCCCTTCAAAACATCTATTACTAAGGAGACCAAAAACAGTGCTCTAGTAAAATGGTTGTTTTCTTACACATGGGCTTATCTCAGGACTGTTAGCTAGTAATGTAAAAAGATTCTCAAACCCTAAATTATAAGTTATCTCATTTGAACTATTTAAACCAGAACTTTGCTGTCTGTTAAGTAAGAAATCAAATCAACAAAAAGCTGATAGAGGTTTTTATCTGAGTCATGGTTTTCATGTAACAAGGAATGAAAAGAAACAAAAGGATGGGAATTGTGACCCTCACAGCAGCATGGGGAATATACAGTTGTGTAGCCAAACAGTAACATTAATACTACAAAATTATGCCAGTGAGACAAACCTGACATTTTAACAATGTAAAACAATATACACCAGCAAAAAAGTTGAACAGCAATAATCTTTAGTGTTACTGAAAGGAAGAAAAGGGAGAAAGGAGCCTGGTGTGCAGGAACAGATATTAAGCATGATGGGTAATCAAAGGTATCAACAGTTTGTGTGCCTGTGAGAAATCTGCAAGAAAGCTACTTATTCCATGATAAAAAAATATATGCACTGGTTGTTTCAGCTTTACACATCAAGTTGTGTATTATGTGTCTTCTTCAATTCATTTCTAGCTGGGGCTGAAAGGTCCCCACGTGTTCCGGGCAGGAGGGACCTGGGGCACAGCTGAGTTGGACACAGACACCCAGCACTGCGTGTGGACAAGCGTTGGTGCAGAGACAGCTCCGCTGCTGCCGGCCAGGGGTGATCTCCTGGCTCCAGGGGAACAGCCTGGATTCCTGTAGCTAAGGTCTGGTGTATGAGCCCACGGCCACCACAGTTCTTGGACATCCAAACGCTGCTAGTCTCACATCCTGGTGCAATTTGGTGAGGTGTAATGAGACCAGAACAAACTCCAGCATGAGGAGACAAAGTATTTTTGGGATGTGTAAGCAAAACTGTCTGTGCTCTCCTGCATCTCCCCCAAAGCTCTCGGGGCACATAACTACTGTGGGGGTTTGGTGGCCGGCCCAAGGTGATCCAGGGGAATGGTGTCTGCCTTCAGTGACAGGCAGGGACAGCGTTCAGGCAGCTCAGCTCATGGCTGTGGATTGCTAAAGTCAGTACAGACAAAGCAGAGGGTGCATGTACAATGGAGCTCCCCAGAAACTCTGGCACATTTCTGTATCAGCCAGCAGACTAAGCCTCCGTCCCCTTCCATCCCCTGCATGGAAAGCTCAGGGCTGCTCCAGGACCTGCCCCAGGTACTCTGTCCTGATTGAGGAACTGGTTTGGGAGGTGAAAAGAAGTGACCAAGGGCTCCCCTAGAGTGGTTCCCCTGGAGTGAGCTTTTTGGAGAATTGTGCTCCTCCCTTTCTGCACCCCAGCAGTGGCAGCACGGCTTGTGCAGGGCCTGTTCTGTCACTAGGGAAGGGCAAGGACTGTTCCATGGAAATAACTGGGAACTGAGGCTCACCTGCAGAACAACCCCCACCCTCTGCAGCGAGTGCCTGACACTGCCCAGATGGAGGGTTTGTGCCTCTGCAATTGCCTCCACTCCCACAGAGCTGTGAATTGCCCCTATTGCCTGCAAAAACACTGCACTGCCTTAGCTGTAACCCTGCTAAGTCATGAGTTTCAAAGTCCTGTGGCAGTGAGGTCTGGGGATTATTATCCTCTGCCTTTCTAGCTCCTCACTCTGGTAGCACACACACACTAACATCCTGCCTCACCTGCTCACTGGCACCAGTCTCTGTCCCACAGCATTCCAGAGCATTTCTGAGACTCCTCAGGACGCCAAGCAGCAGCTGGAGCAAACAGAGCGAGCGCAGAGACTGGAAATCCAGCCGGTCACCAGAAGAGTGTGTCGTGCTGGGAGGACAGGCTGCAGGCTGGGGAGAGGTGGAAGCTCCAATATCCTTCCCAATAGGATACATGGAGGGTTGGAGGTTCTCTTCTGCTGAAGAGCTGGAGCTAACAGGGTGTGATGGTCCAGCTCAGCTCCACACATGGGCACACCTGTGACACAGCTCCTCACAACAGATGCAGGGACAGGGTGCTGGCAGAGTGAGGTCCTCCTTGCTGCAAGCAGTGGTACCTCCATCCTGATTTCACCTCAAAAACCAAAATCTGAAGTCTTCTACAGGATCTCAGGTCAGCACATGGCTCCCCCATACAGCTTTAGGGGATTTCAAAAAGAAATGAAGGAGATGGGCATATTTTCCTTCACTTTTTAAACAAACAAATGGCCAGATCTCTGAATCCTCCAGGAAGGCAAAACATTTCCCAAACACCCATGACCAGAGTTACCAATGCTTGTTATCTCTGCAGAGCTGGTCCAGTCAGTATCATCTGCAGTCAAACTCTGCGGGCCTGGAGCAGGGCTAAAGAAAAGGTGGAGAAAAGTCCAATCCCAGCAGGGCCAGGCTCAGAGACGTGTCAGCAGTAAGCAAACAGCATCAGCAGGAAGAGTCACTGGATGATTTTCAAACCAGACTGACTGGTATGAGACCAAAGATTTGATCTTCATTGTAAAGCTCTGGTGGTGCTCTGCTCTTCAAAAAAAAAAAAAATCCACCCAAAAGCACTTTGGCCAGGACTCTCAGAAGTGACTGGAAAACTTCACTTGTTCATCCAAAGCCTTCAGCAAGTCCACTGCTTACAGAAGGCTGAGTGCTGCTTTCTGCAAATCAAAACCATCTGAGATGTCTCCTCTTGGGCACACACAAAAAAGAAATACATGTCCCCAAGATAGCAAGTTACTTTTGCAGTTGTTGGTTCTTCTTTCTCTTCGTTAGTATAAGCTTGTTAAGGAGAGATGGATCGACATCCCGCCAGCTGGAGCAGTCTCCTTTGGCAGCTCCTGAAAAACAGTCCTACAGAGAGACACAACCCAGCTCTCAGGCTGCAGGGAAGGTGTCAAAGAAACAAAGCAAGAGAGACATCAGATCTGCAGCACTATGTGTTAAAAAAGAGTCAACAACCAGTGCAAACATATTCTTTAGAAAAAGGCAGTATAAGAATAAGTTAAAACCTATAATGGACTATAACAAAAGAGTAGATCTACTGCTTTTTTTTTTTTTCTCCAACAGACATGAGGTAGTTGTGTTGTTAGGGAGGAAAAAATAAAGAAAGAGAGAAGTAGTAAAAATGCTACTCTATACCACACACTATTCCACTTTATAAAATTAAATAATATAAAGATGTTCCAAGGAAATAAAAATACATGTTGTACATTAAAAGGACAGATGTGTACCTAAAATATTAGGTACAAGAACCTACATAAAACAAAGTCCAGGCTGGTGAAATGACCCAGACGCTGCAGAAGGTTCTATATAGTACAAGTTGTTAGAGGCACTCGTAGAGTGTGTAATAAAAGGCCACTACACCAGCCTGCTAGTAGAAGTTACAGAGAGCCTGGGAATCCTTCTAACCACGGGAGGGCAGAAAAGGCTGGTGGTTGCAGCTCACTGCGTTTGTTTCCTTCGGCTGCCACCCCCTCCCGGGACTCTCGGGACAGGATCCATCCCGGCACAGTCGGCAGTGCCAAGCAGTTGAGGAGGATCACTCAGTGTGCTCTGCCACTTCCCGGCATTACACGATGCCTTGCCAGTCGCCTGGAGGACTCCGGAGAAGTGACAGCCCCAGTCTAGCGCAGAAGGGCTCCCTTCCGTGGTGGTTCCCTGCGCCGGGCTTCGGCAGATGGCTCGATCCTGCTCCCACCGACACCCAGCTACTCACCAGCCTCAGCGGGAAGGAGGTGGCCCTGCCCAAGGTACCTCCTGGTTTCCTGCAGGCGTGTGCCCAGCTGAGGGGTCTGAGCCCTGCCCTGGGAGGGGCTGTGCCTGCTCAGCTCCTGCTGGGCTCCGTGAGCCGAGGGCAGGCAGCACCTCACAGCTCTGCCATGATCAGCGCCAGCTCAGGTCACTCTTTGTGGCTGAGGACACGTGCCATGTTCTCACATGCTGAGGATGGACTGGTTAAAGCAGAGTTACTACAGAGCGGGGCCTCCTCCGGGGCCGTGGAAAGCAACTGGCCCTTGACTGGCTGCACATCCTGGATGGAGTCTGAGTCTCCACTCTCCACTGAATCCAGACTTTCTCCATGGCTGTGGAAGCCGTTGGTGAGCCCAGGGATGCAAACGGCCTCTGGTTTGTTAGTTTTTGTGTCAGCCTGGGCCTGAGCCTCCAAATTCCCTGTGCAGTCCACCAACACTTGGCCCGTGTCCTGCTGGGAGCTGGGAGAGCCAGGAAGAGCCAGCTCTCCTGAGGGGAGCTCTTCAGGCTCCTGGCCCTCGATTTCTGTCTCTTCACTCTCCAGGGTGTGCAGCTGGGAGTCGTAGTCTCTGTCAGAAGCTGAAAAATCAGAATGGACAATGACCTCTGCTTCCACTTGGTGGAGGTTGGCTGGTGGGTGGCTTTTCTTTGTTTCATTCTGTTATTAAACAGGGGGGAAATAAGAAAAAAAGAAGGTAAAGTAAGTGAAATTCTGATAATTGAGGCTGTGACCCAACCAAGCACCGAAATGTATTTCTTTTTAATGCCACAGAGTGCAATGGGATATACACATGCCTCTATTAAACATTATCTTGATGTGCTTCTCAGAGCTGAAGTTTTAAGAAGCATCTCAGATCACCTCAGGATCATTATTCCTATTTTATGTCTGAGAAAGCAAGTCCCAAGGGAGCAAAGTGACTTGCCCACAGTTTCTTGGCAGGCTGGAGCAACCATTCCTCTGAGCCTCTGTCAAAGACCACAATTTTCAAAACTCACCAGTCTGTTTCCATATTAAGGACCAGATTTCAAAAGGCTGAGTGGGCAGCACTCTGGGAAACCAGTTTCAGAGAGAGATACCAGGGCTCTCTTCAATTTCCTGCTCTAATTTTGGCTACATATCACCAAGTGTGTGTTCCTTAGAGCCCTGGTCACAGCCTGCAAAAGTCTGTGTAAATTCAAGCACTTGAATTCAGAAAGAAAGCAGTAAGTTCTGCTCTGCAGTGTTTTAAGCAGAGCTCAGGCTACAGATCTCCACAAATCTGGCTGACAAGCAGGTCATTCCACGAGATTATCACTCAATAATTTAACAGACAAATTATTGTGGAAGCTCACAAAGAGCTCTCTAGGCAATCAACGCTCAGATTCTGGGCTGAGTGTGATGTAGCAGCAAGAAGACAATTCAGGGTATGGAAGTGATATCCCACGAGTAATTTGCTCTTTCTGTTGAAGCCAACTTCGAGCATCATTTACATATTTTAACACTTTTCTCCTTTTGTTGACAAACTCTGCCGGGTAAGCTGCGCTGTAAACGGTGCCCTGTAATTGGGCTGTAAAACATTGCCTTAACTCTATCCACAATGCTAATTACATCCTGTGTATAATTGATTTTCACACCACTGTCTAGGAAGGAAACATAGGTGGGTTACTTAGAAGTAGTTACAGGGGGCGGAGGATGAACTTTTTCAAACAATAACCAAAGAAATCTTCTGGTACAGAGTCAGCCTGAGCAGGTGCCAGGTTGCTTTGCTGAGACTGTGGCACAGACATCCCAATCCTTGCACAGACTCTCCCAAACATGGGAGTGCACGTTTATCCCAGTGAAGCAGTATCAGAAATAGGATTTCCTCCCAGTCTGTGCACCCACATAAAGAACACAAGTGCAGTGGAAATTGCTCTGCCCTATCTGGAGAAGGGAGTTTAAATCAACCCTTGATCTTTGACTCCTTTTACAGCCAAAAATGCGATCCCTCCATCAGGCTGTAGATCTTAATGACTGTGCTGAGCTCTGCAGCTCCTAACTCATTCAAGGGGCTGAGTGCTGCATGGCCACAGCAAAGACTCCAAGCAGACTGCTGGTGCCTGGATCCAGGCCCTCAGAGACCAGGAATGCCACAGTCCCACTGACAACCAAACTTCTGAGCCCACCTGACCGTCACCAGAAGAACAAGCCCACAAAAAAAGGGCTGCAAAAAGGAGAAAGGGAGATGGGGAACATCATAAACGGAAAAGCCCCATCAGAATTCATAAGCCAGTAATTCAAACACCCACCATCACAGCATCATAAACCAGAGCTTGTAGCAGGAGCTTCTGCCCTGTGCTGGAGGGGAGCTTGAGTGACCCATTCACAGCAGAGAGGGGCTCCTTGGTGATGGTGTCCCCGTATCTGGCAATGCTGTTCGTCCAGGGCTGGGCGGCCGATTTATTCCACGAAGACTGCAGGAGAAAAGGGGGAGGAGAAAAGATCCAGTTACTACACACACAGATTCTTAGCCTCATACAAGAGACGCGAGAAGCAGCTTGAAAAAGGAAAGTGCAGGTTGGGAAGGAAAATACCGTAAATGTGGAGGACACTTGTGATGGCATCAAAATGAAACTGCTCTGCAATGGACTCGCACAGTCGCTGCCTTGGAAGTGGCGTTACTGCTGGTACGTGGGCTGATGCAGAGCACGGGGATACAAGATGCCAGATGGTTGTAAAAGGGTCTTTCCACTGATTCTTGCATTGTGAGACCAACAGGTATATCATGGCACAGGCATCCTTTAGAGGTCCCCTGAAATCAGCTCCCTGCAGAACTACAAGCAGCCCAGAGCAGAACGAGCCCACCGAGAAATACAGCAGAGCTGGGAAGGGACAGGGATGGGGAAATCTGGAGCTGATCCCAGTATTTGCTTTGGCACCAGCGAGAAGGACCCTCACCTGTGGGCACTGGCCTGTGTGCTCCAGTAAGAGCTGGAGACAATGGTACCCTGCCAGCTCTGCAGAACAGAATTCCTTCTCCAAGCCAGGGCTTGGGTAAACACTCTGACATTACCCATCAACGCAGAGGCACAAAACTGGGGGCCTTATTTTGTTTAATTTTTTTTTTTTGCAACAGACCACCAAGCAATTCTTAGCTCAGCTTTAAGTCCCCTGGGCAACCAGTGTTACCTTGTTTGTAGATCTAATTAAATTATATGGGCTGAACGCAATTTGTTCTGGGTTCTCTCAGCTTCCCCTTGCAATAAACTGTTGAATGCACACCTCTGTGCATGGGAAATGTGTGTCTTTAAGAGCTGAAGTTATTTAACAGCTCAGACTATTAGTTCACAGGCAGAACAGTATTTTCTTTCCAGCTTTTGATTTTATTGGGCTGTCCTGCATTTACCTGAGCTCAGCCTTGCTACTACTCATAGATATACACACACACTCAGATTTAAGGACCACACAGGCCTGTTATCTCTGGCCTTGTTCCACAGATGTTACACAATGCCTGGGTAGAAGAGAGGTGATGCAGGGATGAAGAGGAGAAAATCCTGCCCTGACAACAGCGAGTGTGCACATGCACACTGAGTATTGGTGGTGTGAGCACGATGGCTGTGCAGGGGGAAGATGTACAGCACATCTCTTCAAACCCACTGACCACCTATCGCTCCCTGTCAGCAGGAGAAGCCCAGGTTCCTGCTCTGCACATGTGGCTGCTCCCTAGGCCAGATCTATCCCAACAACCGCCAACGTAGCGCGAGTCCGGCCGAGACAGCGAGGAGATTTCTGACATCAGCCTGACCTTGTGTGAGTCATTTGACCTCCTTGTGCCTCGGTCCATCTGGCTGGAAATTAGGTAGAAATACACGACCAGATGTTGTATGTGAGCCAGGCATTCCTAAGTCAGCTATTTAGCAAGAAGCAAATGCTCCCTCGTGCTATCGGGGCTGGCCGGAGGACACCGAGGTGCTCGTGTGTGAGTGAAGGGCGGCCTGGGCCGTCCCCCAGCCCCCTGTGCACCCTCACCCAGGCACCCAAGGGGCCCAACACCTTGTGGGAGGCAGAGCTGCGTTACATCCCAGCGCCGCTCCCAAGTCACAGCAGCTTTGCTGCTGCCTCTGGATGTCATTTTTAGCAGACAAGTAGTGAAAGGGCTCATTGATATGCCAGCACCCTGCAGAACGGTGACGTCCAAGCCCGGCGCGGTGGCCATCAAGCATTTGCTAATTTAGACGTGGATGCTTGAGGCAGCATCTTTGCCATTTCTCTCTCTGCAATCCTCGACAATATATTCTGAGCCAAAAGCATTCCCTAATTGCTCCCTTTCTAAGTGGACAATCATTAAACTACGCTTTAATAGCGAGAAACCAACCAAGCGATCACAGAGAGCCCACAATAAGGAATATCTCCACACGCGAGTGCTCAAGGAGCGTGTTCAATTTGCTTCTGCTGCCATCTGAAAGGCTTTCTGCAGCTCCATCCCTGACTGATGGCTTCTGTGCCTCTTCCAAGGAACATACGTTACTGAGCAAATACTGCCTGGAGATTTCAGCGCCGAACCTACACAAATCTGCACACATGCACCAAATGTGTGTCCTGTTAGAGATGCCTGCGTGCGTATTTGCCATCAGAGAGATCTGAGCATCGAACGCGCGCACACACACAGAGCAAACTCGAAAACCTTCTTGCAGGCATCTTGTGAATACCAAAAAAACGTGGAGAGAAACAGGCAGCTCTACTGCAATCCCCCATGGACCATCTGTTAGCGGAAATGTCAATCTGCCATGTTTACATAGGTTTTGATGACTCTGGGAACAGCCTGTTCAGCTCTGGCTGAAATTGGCTGCAACGAAGAACAAACTTGTTTTGTACCAGTTTGCAACTTTCAACAAACAGAAAAAACCATCAGCCACACAACATGGCCTGTGTCCCACATGTTGTTCGAGCACATTATGTTTGAGAGGGGAAAAAAAGAAAAAAAAAAGAAGGCAAAACCCAAATCCCTCTTGGGGCTTAGGCTCTAAGGTTGGGCAGCGGCAATTAACTGTAGGTCTGTTTTCATCACAGACCTGAAGAAATCCTGTGTGCCTGAAAGCTTTGCTGCTTTTTTAAGTAGCATTTTTTGGTGTAATAAATGAAACTAATTTCTTTACTTGAGAGAGGCTAGCGAGCGGTTGATGGAAGGAAATGTTCTCTTAGTTTTTACAACAGAGTAACGAAGGCAAAGAGCAAGGAGTGTCAGTCTAACACTAATTTAACGAGGGAAAAATCCCTTTGTCAGTTCACTGCAAACACGAGAATGAAAACTAATAAAAACATCTTCCAATAAAAGGCATTTCCATTACAGCTAAATCCTTATCAAAGCAAACAAGCCTTCTCATTTTAGCCTTTTTATAGAAACTCTGGCTGGTAAAAACGTGCCTAGATCGTGTTACCTTCTCAGTGACAAGTCACGATTCCATGCAAATATATGAGCTGAGAATGAACACGTAGGAAAAGTTCAACTTGAAACCTCCCCTGTTTTATGAGGATGGTTATTTAAAGGAGCTTGAAGTCCTGTGCAAAACAAGGCTGGGGACATTTCAGATGTGCCCAGCTTTTGAGAGTGTCACAGCAGAGGGAAAGGATTGCTGAACAGCCGGTGGGAGCGGGAAGGCTCCATGTCACGCAAACATCCCAACATCCCTGCCCACAGCTGGGATGCAACAGAACACAGACCTCTTCCTTAAGAGATAAAGGAGAGCCTCTGCTTGCTGTCACCAGCATCACAGCTCTCATCTGAGACTTCTCAGAAAACACTGGGACTTCTTTTCCACGCACAAAAGTTTCAACACGAAAATGACAAACAACCCGGGTAGATCCAAGTTCCCTGATGTGTTACAGCTTTTGCTCTCCGAGTCCCAGGGATGCTTCATGGGAAACACAGTCCTGCGGGAAGGAGGCCCTCAGGGAAGGAGCAGGACGGCAAGCAAGGAAGGTTCCAGCTCGCAAGGAGCACAACAGCAAACACTTCCAAGCCAAAACACTTGGGTTTGGCTTCACTCAATGAAAAGCCGAAGTCTTCCACGGAAAGCAGATGCTTTTTAACATTCTTCCCCACCCTCTAAATTGCTTGGCCCAAAAGCAGCAGTGACAGAGCTGTCTGGAGCAGAGCCATTTTATCATCCTCAGTCCATCTGTCAGGGGAGACAGAGCTGTGTCCCCACAGCCTGTGCTCGACGGTGTCCGTTCTAACGGGGATGCCCAGGACATCAGGGAGGGGTCACTTGCAAGGGGAAGACAGTAAGAGAGGAACATCACTTGACAGTGTCTTAATAAATCCTTCCCTGTGACACTGGGAAACACACAGAAAGGAAGGAAAATGGGCCTCTAAATGGCTGTGTTCTGCTGCCCAGTGGAGCTGCCAGCATCCAGAGGGGCCCTGTGCTGACAGCTCGGCTGCAGTGGCACCTTTGTGTCCTGCAGGCAGGGACAGGGGGGCAGGAGACTCCTCTGGGACTGCCCCACCTTCCACCTGCACCCCCAGCATTATTTGTAACAGCTCAAGAGGAATCACGGCCATAAGTTCGAAGGGACTGGTGATCTTGACTTGAAACATTTCTCACTTCCTCTCTTTTTTGAATAAGACTGCCAGTCATATTATCCAACCTAGAGCACCCCAGGGAGCTTCCCCTTGCCAGGCTGGAGCAGGAATTTCCTTCCACGAGGATTTTCTCTTTCCTGTGGCTCGATCACATTCCTTGCCATGGGTTTTCCCAGCCCCAACCACACACAGCATGAGAGAAGAAAAGAGAAGGCACCAAAGGCAGCTGGTCACTGCAGGGTGCAAAGCTCCCACAACACTCTGTTCCAGGCAGGGTCCCTGGGGGTTTCCAGACTCAATGGCTGCTGGAGGGAGCTATTTGGAGCACACAGGACAACCCAAGGAACCCACACCCACTCCAGGGCCTCGACTAGAGGCACTTTGTGCACAAGCAGGGAGATGTACACACTCTCAACTGCTCAGACCTGATTCACATCTGGTGGGCACCAGGCAGGTGTGCACTGCTCCAGAACTGCCCAACTCCTTGACCACCCAGCCAGGGAACATCACAACCTCCTCCACACATGGGGCCCCTTAGCAACTGCAGCATAAATGTGTTTCTGAGTCTTTTCACCCTTGATTATACTCTGCACCTATACACAGGACAGAGAGGATGGAATGTGCTCAGGTGACACTTCCAGCAGGAGCCCGGCAGTGGAGGGAGAGGGGTCTCCTGCATGGGAGCACATCTCCCTCCAGTGCCCACTCCCAGGAACAACAGCCTGTTGCTCTGGGCCACCATTCCATCTCCTCCACCTGCCAGGTCCCCCTCCCTGCTCGGCACTGGTGACAACGCTGCTCTCCACGTGGCTGCCTGCAGCTGCTTCCCAGTGACCCTTGCTTGCCTATCCACATCCATCAAAAAGAAAAATCCTCAGTGAATTTAACTCTCAGTAGCCTTTTCCCATCCAATTATGAAGGCACAGACCCTACAGCCAGAACTGTCCCTCTCCCCAAAGCTCTGGTCTCTGACCATAACTCGCTGCTGGTCCCTGGCAGCCTCTGAGGGCCCCAGCTCTCAGGCTGAGCCCTGAGCAGCCAGGCCTTGGCACTGCCCTCTCCAGCCCCTGCTCTGCACTCATGCACATCTTGGTTTAAACCCCTGCAGGAAGAGAAACCCTCCTGCCTTGGAAGAGATCTGGATATGCTGTCCCCAGAAAGGCCTCACAAAGAAGGGAACTTTCCCCCAGCCTGACCTGTTCTCAAGGGTAAGTCCCCATCCCTGAAAACATTTGTTCCTTATTTAACAGAAAGAGCTGTAGGAAATTCCTCACACTCTTCGGCTTGGGTCCAGACAGGCAGCCACATTCCACCACAATCCCTGGATGTGGCTTGGGCTGCAAACAAACAGCCTCTCCTCCAGCTGAGCGCTGATCTGACACGGCAGCGGGGATGGCCACGGGCACGGCTTCAGCTCCCAGGGACACCACAGATGTCTTCTAGCTCAGCTGAAGACTCTGAGGTTCCAGAAGATCACATCTGCACTGCCTCTCACAGCCAGGACAGGGCTCGTGGTCAGCCAGGTACCCGAACTCACCTTCCCTCCAGTGACCCACGAGCGCATCGCTGATGCAAACCTGAAATCCCACGTGCTCACAACGCATTTGTTTTACTGAACCTCCTAATTACTTTACATGCTCTCCCAGGGCTACAAAGAGAGACATAAACAGATTAACTAAATTAGGCCAATTAAAGGTTCCCTAATGGAATGAAATGTTTCAGGCAAGCTTGAAAGACAAAATGGGCAGGGAGGAATGAAAGACAATGCAATGTCAGGCAAACCGAGCAGGGCCAGAAAAAACAACTTAAAAAAAATAAGGTTCACAAAAACCCTCCAGTTTCACCTCTTGTTTATCTTCTGGGGCATTCCAATGGATATACTATTTATGGACACAGCTCCTTTTACTCCAAGCAAAAGGCTGAGTGTCTGCTCTAGACATCACATTTCCTCACACCATCCACATGCCACAGCAACAGGAAAAGTGCACCTTTCTGCAGCACCAAGTTTGGCAGCAGCTTCTTGGGATGAAGGATCACTGTCCCAGGAAGTGAAAAGCAGTAGTAGGTGGCACAGGGATCCCAAATTAGATCTGACAGCCGAGGCTGAGCCAGTCAGTTTTACAGAGAGGGAAATGCATGGCTGCCCAGCACCAGCTGTGCCAGCACTGCAGAGCCAGGACAGGATCCAAGCCTGGCTGCCCAGCACCACACACCAAACAAAGGCTTGTGCCCGGGGGGGAGCCCAGTCACCACGTGCATGTGTCCTTACCTTCCTCTTCCCATGGAGGATGTCCTCGGGCAGGCTCATGTGGATGAGGCTGTGCACCTCTGTCAGCTCTGTGATGTCCCCCAGGGGCATGGGGGCATCCTCTGGGAGCGGGGACATGAGGGACTCGAGCTCGTGTGAGTCCAGGGTGGCACTGGGAGCAGCCATCCCCTGCCTGCTCCGGTGGTAGTACGTGTGGTTGCCAGCAGCCTGGGAATCCAGGCCTGGCAGGGCCTCCCTGAGGGAAAACAAGCGAGAGCTGACATCTCAGCTGGTCCTTGGGGAAGCCCACAGCCCAAGCCCTCCCCTCCAGAGGAAGGGGATCCTCTGTCCACATCCCACTGTAACAGCTTTCACTGCAGATGCATCTCCACCACCTTTGCTAATCCCAAAGCTCAGACAAATCCCAGTGAGGGATGCCAAGCTCTCCCTGCAGATCCTAAGGCCATCAGACACCACGAGTCCCAGCACTGGAGCAGGACACTCACTAACCCTGGCCCATGGTGAGCTGTGTCAGTCCTGTCACCTCTGCTTTACAGGTAAGAGATGCAACAGGGCAGGAAAGTTCAGTGGCCACATTAGGACAAGACTCCAGAAGCTGCCTGTCCCTAGTCCTGAGATCTGCTGGAAGCTCAAAGCTCTTCTCAGCAACTGAGCTGTTTTCTGCTCGTGGTCTTTCCAAATGCTTGTGGCTGGACTCAGACCCCTGGGACAGCAGGGGGCTTTGGGCTGCATCCAATCCTCCTTAAACCAGCCTGTCACTCACTGGGAAGTCTTTCATTATTTTCCCAGCTGGAAGTTAACAAACCATTTCCAAACATCCTTAGAGCTGTCCAACCTCAGAAGCAAAACACTGCCCACACTAACACACAAAGGTAATAATCCGGTTCTTCCATTTTCTTGGGGCTTTTGCTTCTCTGAAAAAAAAACCCACCCTACTAGTCTAAGAACACAAATTGAAGAGAAACTACTGAGAAAATAAATCAGTGAAAAGATTATACTAAATATGCTCCTTATCCAGCCAGCACTCCCAAGATTCAAGCTGTGCATTAACTGTGTCCTGCACTGGATCCCAGGCAGCACAGCTGGACAGGGGAGGCAGCTCATGGTGTGTTTGTCTCCTTCCACAGCAGCCTCCTTTCCCTGCTGCCAGGTGAGCTGACACCCACCTGTGCTTGCTGTTTCGGAAGCTGGCACACATGCAGAAGAGGATGCAGAGCAGCCCCAGGCAAACCCCCACGATGATCCCCGTGACAGAGTGGATATCCAGGACATCTAGGAGGGGAAGGAAGGATGGATACACCATTTCAGCTGCCAGCAGGAAGAAGGCACAAAGTGGTCTCATGTTCAGAGAAGCACCAGCTGTACTAAACCCAACAGGCAATGCCTTTAGAAGTCCCTTCCAACCCCAAACTATTCCATGGTTCTGTGATTCTATACACATAAAGGAGGAAGATTCCTTGGCAGTGACAATTTAGAGCAGCTTAAGGCAAACTGGCATCTGTGCACATTAATTCATCTCACACTACAGAAAGGCTGCATGTGCCCTTCCAGAGGAACTGGGATGGGGAAGAGGGATGAAGTTTGGCTGTAGGATGGGTTCTGGAGCTGCACATCTGAGGGCTGTGCTGTGATCCCCTGCTCTGGCCTACACAGAATTATATCTCACGTCCTACACAGTGACATCAGGCAATGGCTTGGCAATCAGAAACGTCACTGCTGACAAATCATGGCCTTCAGCAACACAGCTCTCACTTCCTGCCCCGGGACAAGGGGGGAATTCATACCAGACAGCTTCTCCCGGAGGGTGTGCACGTCCTTAACGTTGGAATAGGGACCGGATCCCACGACTGTCTTTGCTCCCATCTTGAAGAAGTACCTTGTATCACTTTCCAGGCCGTGCACTTCAGTGCTGAAGATATTTCCTGACCAAAAGCAAGTCAAAAGAAATTTAAAATGTGCAGTTTCAAGACCATTCAGAGGGTGCAGCAAAGCAGCAGCAGAATTCTGCTTGAACCTTCAGAAGTGAGGGGTTTTGTGACATGAGCTCCAAGAGGCATTTCATACACCTCTTCAGTATTAATGAACTTGCTGCTTACAGAGCTGATGATGCAGACTGCACATGGTGCTGCTGGCACACGTTTTTCTAGGAATTACTGGCTGCCAGCCTGTATCTGCGGGATGTTTCCTGGGTGGCAATGGCTGTTTCAGCCCTAGACATGTTTGGTTTCGTGTCTCTCAGTAGTTGTGTCCCTGCACTCTCTGATGTGACCAGGAGCAAGGCTCAGCACGTGGCTCCAGGCAAGCTGGCACCAGGAGCTCTTCAGTATTTGGTGAGGCAAAAATCAGGGCAGCAGGACTGAGCGACCAGCGCTCCAGAGGCGGGGCAGGAGGCAGGAGGAGCGGTGGGGTAGTGCAGCACCTGGAGGAGGCTCACCTTCCCGCGTCAGCAAGGTCCACATGTCATCAGGCTGCGTGTTGTTGGCGTTGTAGAGGATGAGGTACTCCACGATGATGCCGTTGGGCTCCGCGGGTGGGCACCAGTGCACCTGCACAGCGTAGGGGTTGAGCGGGTGCAGCCGCAGGTCAGACGGAGGAGTGGAGGGGCCTGGCAGAGACAAGACCCAGCCTGAGCAGCAGAAAGAGTGGCAGAGCATTCGCCCCCAGGGTGTCTCTCAGGGACAGCAGAGCTCAGAGCGGGGCTGGGACCACATCTCTCAGGGTAAGTCAGGAGGGAACTGACAGAGATTCAGGGGACAGCAGGGCAAGTCGGGGCTCGGTCGCCATCAGTACTCACGGTCGGGCAGGGTGAAGCGCTCCACCACGCTGCCGAAGGGGCCGTCGATGCCCACACCGTTGGACTGCACGGCAAACTCGTACCTGGTGTAGGGCTTCAGCCCACTGATGAGAATGTCTTCATCAGAGCTGGAGAGAGAGGACACAGCACAAGGGCATGAACACCTGATGGTTCCCCCCTGTCACCTTGACACCTCACCAGGAGCACTCTAAGAGATTATCCTAATTCTTACAGTATTTGGTTTTTCACCTAAAACTTTGTCTCCTGCAGCCACGTGAGTGCATGAACACTCAGCTCCCAGGCACAGAGCAAAGCAGTTCCCAGTCTCCAGGATCATTTCTGATGTACTTGCATGGAAAAGCCTGAAAACAGCCTGGTTAGAGGCTGAAAATCTGCACAGGAAACCAGATGGAAAATACATCCCCAAATTATTGTAACTGCTTAAACTCTAGCAATTTACAGACCAAACTTGTGAGGACCATCTCACACATCATGAGTGCTTTGAGACTGGCCATAATTGCACCCAGCCATGTTGTTAATGGAGAAACAACTGTGTAAGGTCCAAACAGATAAAAAAAGATGCAGAGACCAGTAAATGATTCCTTGGTATTCAAGTCAAAGACAAGCCCCACTGCGACATCTCAGCAGTTCTGAACATTTCCTGTGACCATAGCAGATGTTCCCAGCACCCAGGATTTTGCCAAGTACTGGAAATTCCATGCAGGTTGCTCCTGCCCTGTGTTCACTGCTGACACGAGCAATCCATGGCAGATGAACCCTGGGCATCCCTGTTTACCTGGTGTAGTATGTCACGAGGGAGGCGTTTTTCAGGCCCCAGGGGCTGAAGCGCACGGTGTAGTTGACAATCTTGACTGTTGTGAAGTCAGGCTTCTTCCACCGGAGCCATATGGAAGTCGAGCTGTTGGACTCTGCATACACTTGGACTGGAGGCAGAGGAGGACCCTTCTGCACAGGGGGATCTGTGGTGCAAGGCAGAAAGAAAAGAGATGTGGAGATGTATGTGACAGTGATTTCCCCACCACCCATCTCAAAACTCTCCTCCTCCCCTTCGGCTGGGGGTGGTGCAAACCTCACACGCAGTGTAAGAACAACCCTAAGGAGAAGGGGGATATTTTGTTCCTTTCTCTCCTTCCCAATTCCTCCAATGCATTTTGCAATGGCTGTCAGAGGAAGCTGCCTTACACTGGGACCATTCCCATTTTGATATTGTCCTTCCTGAAGTTCATCTTCTGTAGCTCTCCCTTTACCCTTACCTTGGAAGCCACGTGCCAGGCAGAGGGGAAAGACAACCAAGAGGTTTGCTCACCTACTGCTGTCGCCGGTGCCTTCTCTGTTTTGCCCTTCCAAACAGCTGCATAACCATCCTCGTGCTTGTTGAATGCCACCAGCTTCACCTCGTAGAGTTTCCCAGGAGCTGGGGAAAAAAAAAAATCAATCAGGGTTTGTCTGGGGTTATTTTTGTCACCAACCCTCCCCAGTTAGATGTGTTTTCTTTGATTCTACCAGCTTTTCTCACCATCCAAGAAAGTAGCCTGAACACAGTAAATATGTTTTTATTATCTAATACCTAAATAAATATTACCTAATACCTAAATTACAGCAGGGAGTCCCCCTTCCACTTACAGGCTTCCCACATACAAACACTGTGTCACAGCTGGTGCTCGTATGAGCACAGCTGCTCTCTAGTTCTCCCCTCACTTTTAAGAGGAATTATCATCAGAAAATGGACTTGCCCCAGCCCCCAAGGGTTAATCAGTGTCCTGGTTTGTAGCACATCCTCTCAAGATCTCCTGGTCTTTCTCCCTTGCAAACTACTAAAGAAACCTGCAGAGTGTCTCCTCTCTTCCCCATGGAAGAGACTGCACTGCACTGCTTATTCTTGAGGAGTGAGGATGTTCTCTCCTCTCCCAAATGCACCTCCCATTTCCAAAGTCCTTTCTGATTTACTCACTGCTGTGAGGATCTTCCTTCCAGCAAGTCCTCACATGCCCTGTTAAGTCACTGGCAGCTCTTGTTGTATCGTGACTATTTTGACTCCACAGCAGTTTCTTGATTTGCAATTAGAAAAGCAAAGAAAACCCACACCAGAAACCTGAGGGGCCTCATTACACACTCTTCCTATCAGAGAGCCTTGAAGTGTGGGGAATCTCACACTTGGACCCAAACTGAGCTGCTGGACAGGATGCTCTGTGTCCCAGCAGTGAGGTCCAACATTCACCTCTTTTTCCTCCAGCCTTTCATCAGCTGAAATACCCTTCTGCTGTAACACTGAGGATTTTTTTAATGGAGATGTTTAATCGAGGAAACAACTTGGGAGATACAAAGTTCTCAAAGAAGACACTCCCTGCAGCAGCCACCCCTTCAGGAGCCCAGCCAGAGCAGTCCACACCGCCTCTGGTTGCCTTGGCTGCAGCGCATTGATGAAGTTTGTTAATTTGGGACATGCCTCTTCATTCCCTGCCCTCATAGATCACTGCTCTCTTTGCCAGACAACGTAAGCAGAATAAAACCTTTCTTACTGATGCCAATTTTATTATTACTGCCCTGATTACGCTCCCAGAGGCTGATGGTACCAATTACCAAAGGCTTTCTCTGCTCCACAACACACGTCCGCGCTCAGAATATAAAAACAGCTCAGCCACATTTTTCTTCCCTAAAGAATCCCAAAAGCAAACAGAGTTTTGTCTGCCTCCAAGACAGCCTGATCTGCATTTCCACACTCTCCAGCCACAGAAAAAAATGTTTCAAACCCACACAAGGGGGATGAGACCAAAGGGCACTCAACTTCCAAAGGGCTGGAACAAAGAGCCCCACAGCCCGTTCTCTCACCAGCACAGACACTCCTCCTCATGCCCCAGCCTTTGGCTGGGCTTTGCTAGGACACGAGCCCTTTGTGGATGATGTGATCCAAAGGATGAGCAAGAGCTCACAGATGTGATGCAGCTGTGGGAAGCTCCTGTTGGGGAATGAAGTGAAGGAGAGGACGAGTCCTCCGTCTCCATCCCTGGGCAGGATGAGCACAGCAGCCACTCACACGTGAAACCAGGGGAGCTCAACTCCAAGACTGAGCGCCTCACATCCTGAAAATAGGGGTATTTCGGATTTCTCAGTCAGAAGTTTGCCTTCAATTTTTTTATACACAGGCCCAGATGTTCGAGCTCTTAGAACAGACAGACATAAAGCTCTATCAAGCTGTCAAGAAGCTAGTAGGCAGCATGAAAACAGATGTATTTCACTGCATTCCATCATACATTAAATATAAGCAGAATAATCTAGTCCAGATCATTTCAAATCACTAATCTGAATGACTGCATAATATATCCAATATGCTAAATATGTTGCTTCACTCAGCGTTTCAAGGTGCTCATATTGGCCAGGTGCCAGCAATACTTGCCTTTAAGTGGGAAAATATCCTAACTTCCAGACTCCCAGAGAAATGCAATCTTCCTTCATGGGAATGTGGAAGACAGGATCAGATTCTTACCATTTATTTTTCGAATAAATTATGCCCCTGGTAGTTTTACACCAGTACAGAGAGTAAGATGGAAATCAGTAAGAATTCCTCAGGGAAAAGCCCTCCTGGTGGTTCAGGACAGCTTCCTTTTGGTTTTGTGCTCATGAAATTGCTGGATTTCGTATGTGTCCTTGAACAGCTGCCCATCTCTCACCAGGACTTCAGCACACACCTCTGTGACAAGACACAAGGGGTGGCATTAGTGATACCACTCTAAGGACACACAGTTTGCTCCAGAGATTAGCATGAGATGGGAGTTACAGCAACTGCTCTCCAGAGGCTCTGGCAAAACTGTTTCTGCACCCCCATCCACCTCTGCCTGGGGTGTGCCTTGAAGGGCACAAAGTGCTCCTTTCAAAGTGCTCACCTCACAAAGTGCTTCCTTTCTTGCCCTGCTGTGCTCCTGGAAAAAAAAAACCCCAAGGACAACCAGGAGCTATGCAGGAGCAAGGAGTGGGACAGGAGTTTTGTCCTACAGGCCACACCTCAAACCAAGACAAGAGAAAGGGCAGAGTGCTGCCTTCAGTCAAGGGACATGCAGGGACTGTGCTGGACCTTGTCTGCACTGACATGGTTTGTGAGCACATCTGAGCCACAGCCTGGCATTCCCAGTGTCCAGCCTGGGATTTCCTGACACCATTTCTAACACTGGAACAGGATTCCTAGAGGGGTGGTCGATGCCCCAAGCCTGTCAGTGTTTAAAAGGCATTTGGACAGAATTTGCTTTAACTTTTGGTCAGCAGTCAAGCAGTTGGACTTGATGATTGTTGTAAGTACTCCCAAGACACAGTGTAGGGTATTTTCTTTGTTTTTACAGGGGACTCACAGGAGAGGTTTCCAGTGCTGTGCTTCCCTGGCAGACATCCATGAGCTGGGAAATCCCCCCAGCTGATTCTCCATCAGCCCACATGCAGATCACATTAAGGCTGCCAACCCTTCCTGAGATCACTACCAGCTCTGCCTACAAGATGCAGACCTAAGTACCTGCCAGAGTAGCTCTGCGCCATAAAACTAAACCCTTCTAAATCCCAACCACTCCTCCTCCTTGTTTCATGTCCAGACCCCCTGCCTTCCTCAGCACAGCCAGATTCCTGACCCTTCCTTTGTTGGACGCGTGCAGGAGCACATCATTCAACAGCACAAGGGGAGAAAAGGGAACATCCACGGCTGGGAGAAACCCGAGACTCGGTTCCTGACGCAGCAATAGCCGGCACACAACCGCCAGGTCGTAAGGAAACCATTAGGGCTTGACGGATGCCCAAATTTAAGGAAGTAATTACAGGGGAACAAGCAGCCCTCTCAGCATCACCGTGCCAGAGCATTTGGAACCAATTCAGCCTGCTCCGAGCCCCTCCGCTGACGGCCTTGCCAGCGGTTGGAGCGGCGCGTGATGATGTTCGCGTGTGGTTTCCCCAGCGCAATAACTGCAGACCAAAGTTCTTCGGAGAAGCTCATCATTGTTAACACTCTCTCAGTGGCAGAGCTGGGAACCCACTCAGTGATGGCACAACCAGCCCTTCCAGGTGCTGCAGCCTGGCCTTTCCACCGTGCATAATAAATATGCTGCATGTGTAAGAGGAACCAGCACAACGCACACGCGCCCTGCAGCTCAGCTCACTGAGCAGAAACATAAAAGTGGGGGACAGAACAACTCCACTTTCATCTTCCATGACTCTCCCCTCTCTCTCTCCATCCTCTATCAACGGGCAAATCAATTAATTAATGCAATCAGATGTTAGGGACATAACTCCTTAAGGGAAACACCGAGCGCAGTGAGCCAGGCAGGCAGATCCGACTGCTGTGCAGATGTTCTCCAGCCATGGACACTCACATCTCTTTTCCCTTATGGGGGAGGTGCAGGAGAATAGTGGCCCAAAATTAGCATGCTGTGAATTATCCCATCTCTGCATTGTAAGACAGAGAGATTTCAAACAGGATGCAATTATGGAGTTCCTTAGAAACACACAGGGAAGGAGAGGTCATTGTCCTGACTGGAGGTTTCAGTCTTGGCACTCTTTACAGTGACACATTAAAAAAACTAATTGATTAAGAATCACTTATTAGCATATACTAAGTATATTGGTAACCCTTGGTTAAAAATACAATCCCTGCTACACAGGCATCAGAAATTTCCATGACCTAAACTGTTCAGAACAAGCCCCAAGAGCCCCACTCCAGAAAGGGTTTTGAGTGCTCTTAAAACAGCCCACATGGCCCTGGCCCTGTGTATCTCCAGCCAAGCAAACAACTGAGCCTCCTGGGAGCACCCTGGGATGCTGCAAAGTGCAAGGGACAGGCCCTGGCTCTCCACACCAACTGTTAGGAAGATGCACCCAGCTCACCCAGTCGGGTCAGCTCGTACTGCTTCACTTTCTTCTTGAGTTTTATGGGTCCCACGTCCCAGCTCTCATCTTCAGCACCATCCAAGGGGCTCTCATTGCTGGACTCCTCCGGACCCACTTCTCGGTAGTAGAGCTTGTAGCCAGATATCTGGGCATGGTTGGCTGGGGGCTGCCACGTTATCAGGAGAGACTCCATCTTTGCTCGGACTTTTAGTTCCGTTGGGGCAAATGGAACTGAAAAAAAGAGCAGGAGAAAAATGTTCAGCCACTTGTCGCCATTTCCCTGCTCTACTGAATCCTCCCTGCCCTCAGTAGTGAGGGAGGGATGTGAGGAAAGGCTGTGCTGAGTGGGATGTCTCCACTGCCTGACAGTGGAGAGTGGGAGAGTTACAATCCCAGCTGGGTCATACAACAATGTCACAAAGCCACTATGGGGTTTCTCAGTGTATTCTGAGATATTCCTGTCTTTAACCACTGCTGGAGTCTGCTGTGGGCTCAGCTCTGCCTGGCAGAATTGTCTATTCCCTCCCAAATGTCATAACACTGGGGTCTGGGGTTTTGTTTGTTTGTTTCTTTTTTAAGAACTTTCCCAGCTGCACACGGAGGGAGGAAAGACTCACTGCCCAGGCAAGCAGGGAGATGGACAGGGGCTGCTGAGCAGCGAGAGAAAGGTCAGCACTTTGGTCTAACCAAAACCAACGCTTGTAATTCCCAAAGCAAAGCAAGAATCTCTGAAAATGCCCCAAGTTCCCCACACCCTGCCCCAAATCCCAGGCATTCCCAGGCTCCTACCGTGTGTCTGGTTGTCCCTGTCAGGAGTCCGGTGCTGGGTCCACTCGGAGGGGGCCCCGTATCCCACAGCGGTGCTGGCTGCGATCCGCACTTTGTACACTTTGTTGGGATGGAGCGAGTAGAGTGTGATCTGGGTCTCATTTCCACCCACTTCGATGGAGGTGACCTGATCTGCTGGAACCAAGGGGACACCGCTGGAAACAGGGATTTCCCAGCCAAACACAGCTGAGCAGCCACAAGCCTCGCTGCCCCACGCGGCCTGAACGCCCTGGGCCGGCTTGGCTTGGCCCAGCGCAATCTCACGCCACCGAGGAAAACCAGAACTGAAGGCTGGGCAGAGCTGATATCCTGACTGACAGCTCCCTTCATCACATTCCAAACTGCAGGTTGCCTTCAGCACACGGAGCCTGCCCGGAGGGAGCTGTCAGAAACCCTGCTGCTGACGTGACGGCGGAACATGAGCACAGCTGATGGGAGCTGATGGTATGTTCCAGTGCTTCTCGCTGCTGTATTTAAATCCTCACCTTAATTTGAACCAGAACTGTCCAGCAGCCCTGCTTTCTGCAAAATTCACACCTTCACCCAAGCCAGACGGAGGTTTTATCGCTGCCTCTTCAGCCCACCCAAGTTCATAAGGGGGATAACAGGAAATTTAAGCTGAGAATGGCCTGGGATTTTCACTGTAACAACTAACTGGTCTTGCTGAAGATTCATGTTGCCTGTTTGGAGAATGCAGAGGTCTTAATTTCAGCTTCCCTGGGCATTAACTCAGCCGGGAGCGCTGTCCCTGCTATGTAACAGAGTATTGCTGAGTGTGATCCCTGGATTGCAAGTGTTTCCAGGGTTTTACGGCACCACAGAGCCATGTGCAGGCTCAAGGCAAAGAACAAGAGCCAGGAATCACTGCACAGACTACTAATCCAGTTCAAATACATGGGAACATGTCCAGCACCTCACACTCCCCCCATCCTTCTCTCAGGAAGAATCATGACCCTGGGAAGTGAGAAGCTGCAGAGCTTTGACGGTTTTAAGAGCAAATACCCAGAAGGATTTGCAAAGCAAGCACACATGGAATTGGAACAGCCACATCCAGTGAAGGTAAATGTTACCATCCCTGCTGAACGCTGCTTAGAGTGTCTGACAGCATAAACAAAACTGGAAAACACTCAGCAATAGAGCAACACAGCCTGGACAGGATTACTTGTTAGTTTTTTTTTTTCCACAAGGATCACTTTGATTAGACTCCATTTTAAAGAAATTGAAAGCATTTACCCCTCGTCCCCAACCAGCACAAAGCTCTTTCCCCAAACACAGTTCACAGTTCAGGTGGCAGTGAAAGGTTGCTTATGCAGACATTCCTGGGCAGCACAAACATAGGTCAGGCCATTCCCCTGGGGACACAGCTTCTCCACAGTCACAGGAAAGGGCATCTTGAAGTCGTGTGAAGCAGCACAGGGCATTGCCATGACCAGCAGGGCCAGGCTACAAGAGGGCTGCTCTGCCTGGGGTAAAAGGGGTCCCCCCATTTCCAGCCTTGCACCTCCTCCCCTCCCCACAACACACTGTTAACACCCCTGGAGCAGAGGACTCAACCCCCCAGATGGAGCTCCCCTCACCTTCCTTGAGCGTGCAGTAGTCGATCTTGTACTTGGTTATCTTGCCGTTGCTCAGCTCTGGAGGAAGGGGCAGCCACGTCACACGGATGTCCCCAGGGGTCATGCTGGACAGGGACAGCTGAGGGGCAGCACTGGGAACTGGGTGGAATCAACCACGAGAAGTCAGCAAGAGCAGAGCAAGATCTCAGCACATTTCTGCCAGAACTCTGAGTTGGCTGGAGGACACTACCTGGTCTTGGCCCTGCCACAGCCACTGGTGACACGGTGTCTGCCCCGGGGGAACCAATACCCCTGGGAGCATCAGAGGGGTGGCTGGGGAGGGGAGATGGTGGGCTGCTCCACTTCCAGGCTGAGCAGAGCCTGCCCAGCCACACTGCTCCCAGGGACCCTGGGAACTGCAGACTGGGCAGGCTGGCACACACCAGCTATCGGCCCGTGCTGTATGTGGAGCACGAAGGAGACACTGAAGGAAATGGCTCACAGATCCAGCCTGCAGCCTGGGAATCCTCATTCCCTCAAGAACAACAGCTCTGGCTGCAGGCAGCTTTCCTGCTTTCAACTCAGCCTTTCAGGCTTCAGACACACACACACATGGGACCACGCAGGTCACTGTTGGGAGCATTAAAAGCACATAAAGCACATGAGGTCTGCCAAAATCATCACTGTTTGCCTGTCCTGCAACCTGTGGAAAGCTGTGCATGTCCTCCTGGCACTCTGCCTCTACTGCTATGTGATAAATGGCAAAATCAACACAAACTACTGGCTTTTAAGGCATCTGACCTCAAGGCTGCTCCCACCCCTACAGATTGCAATAGATGTTTCTTCTGAGTTGAAATCAAGTCTGGCCCGGAGTCAAGCCTGGAGCAATATCATATGAGCTGGGTGAAAGCCTTGAGGAGCTGACTGCAGTTGCCAAAGGATTCCCATGGGCCCCAGCGTCAGCCAGGTCATTTTCATGCCCTTAATCACCCAAGTGACGATCAGACCAAGGTGCAGGTTTGGGTTTTTAGGAGCTGCTCCTGCCAGGATTATTTTGGAGGCACCACTGCCCATCTAACTCAACGCACCGTCCTCCATGGTCTGGACGATGATGGAAGAGGATGTCCGGCTGGCTCCGAGCTGGGAATACGCGACCACGTAGAACACGTAGTTGGTATTGGGTTCCAGGTCCTTGACTTGCAGCTCAGTGGTGTCATTATTGACAGCAAACTGGTACTCCACGTTATCTGTTCCTGGAGCCAAGGAAACACTGATCAGCAGGTCAGTGAACTGCCAAGACACTCCTACAAAAAAATCACTTAACTCACAAGGCCCACAGTGTAAATCCACTTTAAAAATCAATGTATTCTCCAATTCCCCCAGCACCTGCACAAGCCCCACCTCTTATATGAGTTCTTTGAGCGGAAACATCCAATGCCTCAATGTTAACACCTCCATTCTGACTTGAGCTCCATGCTGAGGCAGCTGCAGATACCAGTTTTAATTTCCAGAGGAGCTCTGGCAGCAGTTCAGCAAGAGTATTGGCTTGCTGGCTGTTTGGGAAGACAGACCCCAAGAGACTCAAGTATCTCACTTCAGATTCTGGGTGTGAATAATTTAGCGACTGCCTTTGTACACAGTGTAGCTGGTTAATATCTCCATTAGCAATCATACCCTTTGCATATAAAATCAATGTGTATAAAATCAGTGCCTGGTCCCGCTAGAATCCAGACAACTCAGCTTTGTGGACATGCTACTGCCTTCAACAAGTTAGAATAGGTCAGTTAATCCGCAGGCACTGCCACAGGCTGGTGCTGACTCCAAGAGAAAACTCCTCTACCTGCAATGAAAAGAGCTAAACCAACTGGAATTGCTAGGAATGAAACTCAACCCGTGCCTTGTGCCTTTTAAGGAGGTTGTGACACCCACCCACGGCCCGCTGGTAGTGCAAGGAGAAGCCGATGATCTGCTCGCTGTTGTGCTCCGGGCGCTCCCAGGACACGAGGACTGTGGTGCTGGAGAGGGACACGGCTGACACCTTCTTGGGAGCGCTGGGCAAACCCTCCCTCACGATCACCGAGAGCTTGGCCGTGGCACAGGCCGTGCCCAGGCTGTTCTCAGCCACGCACTGGTAGTAGCCGGCGTCCTCCAGGCCGATCTGGTTGATGACCAGGCTGCCGCTGCTCTGCACCTTCACGCGCCCGTTGGACAGGATGGGCTCCCCGTTCTTCAGCCAGTGGATGGTGGGGGCTGGCTCCCCCTCCGCCTTGCACACAAACCTGGCCGTGCTGGCTCGGGTGCGGGAGATGGTTTCGGGAGCCTGGGAGATGCTGGGAGTGGCTGGGAGGAGAGAGGGCAAATTAATGCGGGAAGGAGGAGGAAAAGATAGCAGAGCAAATCCCTTCTCCTCCCCGCTCGGTGCTATGTTTTATTCAGTAGCAGCTTTGCTTACAAGATAGGATTTGCCAGGCAGACTCTAGAGGCTTAATTTAGACTCTGTCCAAAAGGAAAAATAAATTCTGTATCAATCATGTGCTGCGTTCCCTGATCCTAGGCTGTTCTCCCTGCTGGCTTCCACGATACTGGAAGTTAATTGCTGATAGAGATTTCCATGGGAGAACCCTGGAGAACAAGAATAAGGCATAAAACAGTTCAGTAAATAGCAGGAACTAAACCCCAAATTAAAGAGGTGACACTCCCGCTGAGAGCTATCCCAACCCAGGGCCTCCTGGCTCTAACCTGGCTCCCATCTTACCCAGCACAGGCCACAGACACAGCTCCTTGGGGATCTCCTGGGTGTTGGTCCACACAATCCATAGCTACCTGGTCAGCATTTTTACCTGGTCAGCAATTTCTACCTGGAGTGTTTCCCTGCTCTCTACTCACCCAGGACCCGGAGCTCGGCGGCGGCGGTAACGAACTGCCTGGTTTGGGGTTTGTTGGCCCGGCAGACATACACCCCAGAGTGATGGGGCTGGCTGGAGGGAATGAGGAGATTGGTCCTGCCCAGCACAATCACATCCGTGGAAATGGGCTTTCCATCTGCAGGAAGAAACGTACACAAACGTGGGAGGGAGCCCCAGGCTGCCCTTTGTGAGGGCTTGCAAACAACGCTAGGATCGCAGCTGGGGAGTGGAGAGACCCCCAAATCCCAAACCCCAGCCCAGAGGGCTGTCAGCAAGAGTGCTGAGTCACTGACAACTCAGGGATTCCTCCCTCCTCTGCATCCTGGATGTGAACCCAAATTTACTGAATGAGTGAGGGAGACAAACCCAGAGCTGGGGACAAGCTGAGGAGAGGCCTGGATGGGAGGGCTGGCACAGGTGGGCAGCCTGGGAAAACCTGCCAATTTGTGCAGTACCTGTGCACCACCAGACCTTGTTCTTCTCCACCTGCAGCAGCACAACCTCAGCACTGCCTGCCTGTACTTCAGCTGAGCCTGGATCTCACACAGAAGCAAACTCCCCACCTCCACCGCGAGCAGCTGCACCAGCTTAGCACCACCAGCAGGGAATGTGGCTGAGAGCAGACCCTCTGCCCCCTCCCTCCATTTTGGGGGGGCTTCACAGGGCCTCACAGTTCAGTGGCTGCACACTCAGGAGGAGACAATCTGCACACCCCGTTTGCACTGGAGCGGTTGGAAAACCTGACTCCAGATGGTAGCAATTAACTGACACCACCAAGGCTGGCAAGAGCCAAACTGGCAAGCTGAAGGTACATCCTTGGTGTTCCCTGCATGACTAATGGTCCAGTAACCCAGCCTGCTCCTTAATGAAGGCTTGGAAAGAAACATGCTTGTATAACACAGAATGGCTAGCACTGTTAATCCATCTTTTTTAATTGAAGAGTCCACACCAGGAGGCAGATTGGGATCAAGCAAACACTTGAAATGAAGCATGGAAAGAACTGGTACACCAACCTTTCCCCACTTCCCACTTGTCTTCCCTCCTTCCAAAAAACTTTCACAATAATAATTAACTCTAATAATATCTACTCTGCTATGGGCATCAGCAGCTCTCAGTAAAGCAGTGAGCAAGTGATCAGCACAGGAACGCTGAGCATTTGTAATCGTGAAGTGCACAGGATAAACCAGGAATATTTCTGCCAGAACATTTAATCCTTGCTGATTTGATTTCCAGAGTTGTATCCTCTGAGGTTTTTTTGCTCCTCTTTTGTGGGGAAGAGGAAATATTTTTATATGCTAAAATCACTGCCTGTGGACAAATCTGGGCTGAAAACCAACCACGATAAATGGTTACAGGGGAGAGGAGTCTTTAATTGTGACCCGGATTTATGAAAATGACTGAGAGCCTTTTCTGGGAGAGAATCAACCTCTGAGCTGAGAAATATCTTCAGTTAGAGCCTCTGAAACACATCTGATGGATGTGACTCTCAGTGAAGTGACACTGGCATCCTCCTCGTGACTCTGGCTATCAGCCCTGGGTAACATCTGCCATCCCAGCTCACTCGTACACCTCTGACGAGACCTAAGCAGCTCCTCGATCCTTCCACTCAACAAAAACCTCCCTGCAACAGTCCCAGTCACTCCAAGCATTAACAGATCTTATCAAGTCTTATAATGCTGCAGGGTAATACAAGTTATTTCTGCGGTGCAATGGCACATTCCGCAGTATCCCCAGTAACCTCCGAGTCCCCGGAGGAGCGACATACACCTGACCCCATCTTCATGACCTCCACTGCCCAAATCCATACAATGAGGAAGGCTAACTTAGATCCAAAGGCATCCAGGAACTAGGACATCATGTATTTCACAGGTCAAACAACTATAAATTGAACGGTGTGCTCTGTAACCTTCAAGATTTAATTAATGATTCCACTTGAGCAAGGACACCCGACACCTACATCATTAGGCACCCATGTAGGGAGCACCCTTCCCGCCCCACAGATTCTTCCACCTGTTGATAGATTGTTAAAATAAAGCAACCACAGGTCCCTCTTGAGAACACAAACTTAACCCTGTCCCTCACACTCACCCTGCCGTATCCAGGAGACGAAGGGGGTGGGGTCAGCAGCCGCCATGCACTCCATCACCACGCTCTCCCCGGCCACCACCGTGGTGTTCTCCGGAGCGGCCACGATGGTGACGTCTCCTCCCGCGGGCTGGGAACCTAATGGCAAAAAACAAAAGGAAAAGTCTGTCCTTCCAAGTTGTGAAGTCCCTAGAGAAACAGAGAAGGTAGAGCCCAGGCTCCCTGGCTACGCTCCCCCAGGCTGTCTCACCTGTGGAAACGGCTCATGCCCACTTGGAGGAGGAAAGCAGGTCTTGCTTTTACATGGCTACGATATTTTTACTAAAGAAATGAACAATCTGCCCTGCAGATTTACTCTAACTGTGCTGGCCTAAATTAATATCAGGATTTCCCATGGAAAATTAGTAGTTTCAACCCAGCACCTTCATGAACTGTTGCCATGTGGATGTTTGTTCACTAGACAAAAAAAAAAAGACACTGCTGTCCTCAGAGCAACACCAACACTCGCCAAGGCATTGGAACAGCTTGGGAAGAATGCAGTAACTTGGTTAAAGAAATCCTAACAGCCAGATGTTGGACTGCTGTAAACTGCAGCAAGGAGAGGTCAGGGCTGTGTCCCGGCCTTCACCTGACGGCACAAAGATTGATCAGCCATCAGACATCTGGAGGAGGGAGCCCTGAGCAGCTTGTACGTGCACAGACCTACAGCCAGCACTAAAATCAAGCAAGGTTTACAGGAAGGTCTCCAGGCTGCATTGCACAATGTCTTGAGAATGGGATGGGGATATTCTGCTTGAAATGAACCTTCTGCCTGTGTCTGCCCACTGCTGAGCAGAGGTTAAGGGAAGGTTAAGGAAATGCCTTTGCAGCAGCCAAATTTCTGTTGTCAGATGAAAACAACCGGAGCACTCTTGAGCAGAGCAGACTGTTCATGACCCTCAACAGTAGCAGCCCTGTTCTTCCAGCTCTCTCAAATACCTCTAACTCTGAGGGACACTTTTGTTGTTGAAGGAAGAAGTAAACGCAGAGGAGTCACGTAGCACCAGGAACCCTTCGGCCTGCAGAGAAAGTTGTTGGCAGCAGGTCTCAAACAAATAAAAGCAGGACCTTTCTGCACAGTACAAACTCCCAGGATGCTCCAGAGTTCAAAAACCAAGAGGTTCAGACAAGTTCATGATGGACACATTTACTGCGACTGTTAAATACGGTCTCACTGCAGTCCCCAGCCCAAAATGTTCCTGACTGGGATACTTTGTCTGACAGGGATCCTGACTGTCAGATGCTGAGGGAGATGTCCAAGGAAAGCACCATGTCCTCTCTGCCCAAGTTTTTTTACATGCTGAACTCCAGCATCTGCTGTGGTCACTTCTGGAGATGGCACTGCTGGATCTCTGGCCTGACCCTCCCTAGCCACTCATGCAGCATCCAAACAACTCATATTTTAATTCCTTGTGGAAGTAAACCAGAGGAGCTCTGGCCTCAGCAGGCAGAGCTGCCTGCATGGCAGGGCTGCACTGAATGTGCTGTGCTCAGCCCATCCCCAGGCTCGCTGCCACTCCACTCTAAGCAGGGCAGTCTTGCCAAGGAGTTGGTTCGACACTGAAATGTTCTCCCAGTCCGTACGTGCGTGAAAGGGATTTCCATCCCCAGGATTAGGTGAGCGCAGCCAAAAGGAGCCAGCAGAATCCCTGAGGCACCAAGGGAGACTGGGAGCGAGCAGGAACCAGTGCTTGTCCAGCAGATGGAAGCAGAGACCAAGGAGCACCCCCAGACCCTGACCTGGGGCAGTGGCCGGACCACACTGACCTGCAAGCCCAGCCCTGGGCAAACACCAGCAACAGGAGTTGTCCTGGGGCACGAAGGAAGAGCCAGGCCACTTTGGACACTTGCAGCCTCGCAGCCATCACACCCAGCTGCAGCAGGACAACTGGGGGGACAGCACCACAGGGACAAGAAGGAAACACATCACATAAGGGTTCTGAGGTCTCACTGATAAACAGATCGAAGTCCTGGGTGCTGTGGTGCCAAAGCTGGGCCTGAGGACTACTGAGACAGAAAATGGGCTTAATGCAAAAACAGGCACGAGAGCTTCCACACCGGGGAGCCAAGCTGAAGGATCAGGAAAATGCAAGGCTCTCTGCACCAGCAGCTTTCAACAAAGCACTAAAACCCACGAGGAATCACTAGTCCTGCATCAGACTGCAGAGCCACGGCAGCTTTTGATGAAAACAAGCGGGGCAGCAGCCAACAGCCCACATCCTGGAAGCAGGAATATACATGGTAGGACTTCCAGCCTACCATGGGAGTGAGATTCTTTACCCAACACCAGCGGCTGCCGAGTACCTGCTGGGCAGGACACGGCTGAAACACGTCTGTGTGCACAAAGCTGCCTTTTTCTGCAGTGCTGGGGGAAAAAATAAATCTAGAGTGAAAAAATAACACCAGCCAGATGGCAATATATTCCCTGCCAGATTTCCAAGCAGCTTTCTCTACTGAGCTTAAGGCAGAGGAAGAGAGAAAGCTCCTCAAAACCTGAGTTTAACACTCATCTGTTGCATTCAGGTGCTGACTGGCAAAAGCACTTTACAGGTTATAGAAACTCCACCTGAAGGCACTTGTCCTCTAGCACTTGGTCCCTCAGCTGCCTGGTAGTGCTGCCAGTCACCAGGAGAGGGATTTTACCTCAGTTTCAGCCTTGAAAAGCTATTGGGAAAACATATTAGTCCAGACCTCACATCTGATTATTACTGAAATTATATTATAAACCCCAACAGTTCTGCTTGCTTTCCCAGTGCATTCCTGGGTGTGTGCATGGATGAATGCCCCTTACACCACTTGCACACACAAACACATCTCTCTCCAGCTTTGTATTCCACCCTGGGTCTCTCAGAGCAAGTCCCCAAGCCAAGCTCCTCTTTAAACTCAGCCCCTTTGGAGTGCATTTTCCCACTGGATATAACAGATCACAGCTCCACTGGCACAAACTGGGTTTCATTTGGTTTGAGGAGTTCCCAAGAACAGCACTGAGCTCACCCCACCCAGGGGATTCCAACACGCAGCAAAGAGTAAAACCAACGTGAGGGCTTTTTTGTCTCTGCTGCCGTTAAGACCATTTCAGGTCAAGAGGGAATATTGTCAGAACCAAAGGAAAAAAAAAAAAAAAAAGAGCTGCAGTTTCCAAGCCATCTTTCACTGCCTGAACAAAACAGGTCACTGAATGCACCTGCGCCGTGCTGGCCGCTCTGGGGTATTAAAAGCTTTCACAGTGCTGCTATTTAAAACTTGGGCTTTGAGATCTCCCCCCCCCACCATTCTCCCAGCTTTGTTTTGCCTCTCCAAGCAGCAGAGCTGCTCCAGGCAAAAGCTTTGCACAGCCCAAGGCACAGCCCATGGATTCACATCAAAACTCGCCATCACTCACCATGGCCTTCGTGGAATTTTTGCCCTTCTGAATCGGAGGGATCGATTTTACCCTCTTTTACTGAAATAAACCTATCTATGGGGTGCCAGGAATAGCTCTGGGGTGACTGGGAGTGTTGCACAGGACTGAGGGAAATCCTCTGGGCACTGAAAGTTGGAGGCTCTTTTCCTGCACAGTTCATTCACCTTTGTACACACTTGTGCCTGCACAGGGAGACACCAGAGGTGCTACCACAGAACAAGAGACTCACTGATCATCTGCAGAAATATTTCAGAATATTCCCCTCAGTTTTACTGTTTCTGAGTGACTCACTATAGAGCACTTCTCAGTTGCCTGTCATGAGACAGGCGGGTCAGGCCAAATTTGGGTGCTCCATTCCCTCCATTCCTTTGCTCTCACGGGCACCTCTCGGTGCCTGGAGCTGGGCTCGGGGCAGGCACAGAGGAGGTACAACAAATCATTTATGATCATGTGTTGGAACAGCAAAAGGAGGTGGGGAGGGGAGCACAGGGAACCTGGAGACAGCGAGTGAGCGAGCCAGACAGATCTCAGCACACAGACCTCCCCCCTGACCTCCACAAATCCAATCTGCGTCGTTTCACAGCGAAGGGGAACGATGAGCAGGGATGTCAACGGGGAGCTGCCTGGGACAGAGCTCAGAATGTTTATTTGAGGTCACGGCTTGAGTTATAACATACATCAGTGATTTCCAACTCCAAGAGTTCATAACTTGGCTCTGCCTCTAATGCATCCATAATTCAAGAGCGATCCTCTCCCACCTCCCTGCTCTTGTTAGTGCAGAGCATCAGCGAAGAATTCAGGCAGTGCAACAGGAGGGAAATGCTTTTTGTTCAGCCAATTTGTGATGGTCGTTTGCAGTGACAAGAGGATGACTTCTCAGATGGGAACTAACACCTCTCTGCCGACTCCACAAACACCCTGCCTCGGTAAAAGTGCTGGAAGGTCAAACATGACTTGCATGGCGACACATTCAGCTCTCAGCTGTCAGCGGGTCAAGATTTGGAGATATCCAACAATCAAGCAACAATCTCTGTTCTGCGAACTTTCTCACCCTCTCCGGAGGAGGAGCATGAAACCTTATTCATCCCTGCGAGCCTCCTCCGGGAATAGATCCTAGCACTGAGCAGCTGTTCATTAGAGAAAGTCAATGCTGTCACTGCTGTTATTCTGCAGACAATAAAGGAGCAAATTACCCATTGCAAAGCGCACACCTTCAAAAACGCGGGCGCTGTGTTTGCAGAGCGTGTCCTGCTCCCACTCCCGAGCTCTCTCCCTTTCCTGGGATAACCCACAGACCTGCTGGACTGTTCAGCAAGAAAGTTGACACAGCCACAGAGGAGAAAAAACATCCTCCAGACCTGCCTTCCTCCTCCCTTTACACTGTCCTGGAAATTTATCTATGATTTACTTCTACTTCTGGGCTAGACCCAGGACAGGAGATAATTAGCAAGTAAAATCTCTAGGCAGGACACTTGCCCAACTGTACCTCAACACTACAGAATATCTGCTTTGGGGGCAATATAAACCATGTCAGATCTCACACCTGAGCACTCTTTGCAACAGGCATTTCTTCTTTTCAAACTGTTCTCACCTGCACACAGCAAGGCACAGCTTTGCAGACAGGAAAGCAAAGCACCCAAGAGAGGACTGGCAGCAGGGATTTTTCATAAGTGACTACAGGTGAGTGCTGTCCCTT